TGAATATTGTCCTGAATTTTTAATTTTTTCTTTAAGTGAACCAACTATTAAATGTTGCTTTATGTTAAAAACAGAGCTTCTTTTGAATAAATGTGATACACTTAAAAAGTGAATGCCATTTGATAATTATCTTAGAAATAAATAAATTTTAAAAATCAGGTTAAAAATATTGTTCCAATAAATTTAGTGGCTCTTTTTGAAACTTATCTAAATCCGAAAGGATAGTTTTGAAATGGATTCTTCCCAAGCAGTAGTTAAAAAAAGTTAATATGAGAAAGTTGTTTTAAAATAATCCTAACCTTTAAACATATACAAATAACTGTTTCTTTAAACATCAGATTGGGCTGGTTTAAAATTCTAGAACATTTGATTTTCTGAGACAGAGGGATTAATGTATACATATGCACATCCTTACCATTTTATAAAGTCTTGGACCAGAGAATCTTAATTTCTTGTCAAAGAACACAAAGTAAATGTACTGTCTGAATAAGTTTGTAATGGCCTAAACATTCAGCTTTCATACTGGGGTTTTGGAGCAAAATAATTATCATCTTTCTAGAGATACTCCTACTGACTTCCTAGAAAACATTATCAATTGCTAGAGACTTATTTCCAACAATCTCATTCCCAAAAGTCCTAAGCCCTGAAGTTCTTCACGATGTCCTGGCATCCTGGGAATTCACTTGATCTTCTGGGCAGAGACATTTCAAACTCGGGGAACACATGATGGGAATTTAGTTTCATGTGTCCCAAAGATATGTAATTCTCTTTGGAGGTTTTACTTGATAATAGCTATGCCCCAGAAAACCATCTTGTTTAACCAATGTGATAAGTTGACAATGTAGTTTTTCTCTCTGATTATAATGTACTCTGTGTAGTCAATACACTAGTACCATGTGAGTGTAATTTCCTCTTTTATTTTATCTCCAATGCACTGTATTATAAATAAACAGTTAAAAAAAACACCAAACAAATCTGTTGCATCTCCTTTTAAGATTGTACCACTGTAGACACTTGTTCTAGTAAAGTAGAATTGGGCGCATTTGATTGCATTTAAATTTTTCATGCTTCAGCAGTTTGGCTGGGAGCACAGTAAAGAAAAATCCCATGAGCGAGGATAGTTTAGAATAATAGAACTTGATTTTGTGTATTATAGCGGCAACATTTGCGCTGCTTTAGTTAGGGTTGTGTCAGCACTTCCATTATAAACCCCTGTTTTCAGGGGGTATAACTAGGGAGATTTTTTTTAATACAAATTAAAAAAACAATTCATTTGAATGATTTTTAAGTTATAATAGTGCAAAAATAAAACAAAGTAAAGTCATATATAAATTGACCATCTCACAAGGATTTTGATTCTTTTGCTTATTAGTTTTATATGACAGCAGCTAAAGTAAGATGCTGTTCTAATATGCTGGGGGTGAAAGTTTTGGTAATGAAAAATTACTATGTGAGCATTAAAAATAAAAGTAAACATCCCACGTGACACTTTAAAACATTAAAACAAGTGTATATTTGATTTATGAGTTTCTAAAGGAGAGTAACCATGGTGCAATGGTTATGGTAAAGGCATTACCAAAAGTCAAGTATCTTCACAGCTTCCAGAATAGTTCAGTTGGTCTAGTAAAGTGTTTTAAAAGGGAAAGCCAAAGTAAAGAAATGAATGAGGATTTAATCAGGAAGTTGAAGCATTCTTTAATAAAGTAATTGTGCAAAAAGGAATCGGTAAATTGAATCTAATAATCAGTAAATTTAAGACTTGTTTAATAAACTGTGTTTTAAAAAGAATTTGTACACATTTTCCTTTTAAAAATACAACAAAGCTACCAAACTACAACAAGAACAACAATGAAAGAAGCCCACCAATTTTATCAAAAGGAAATGGCCTTCAGGGGGACAATACCACAAAAAAATCACTGTTTTCTCTGCGAACAACATGCTGAGAGCTACAGTAAACTCAAGCACTTAAATAAAATATGATATGGTAAAGTATTCTTCTTGGAACACAAATGTTAATTCCTTTGCTAAAGGGAAGGGTTTCAAAGTTGAGTATGCCCTCCTTGGTTGTTAACAATAATCATTATTGTCCTACCTTCCCCCTCTCCTTGTCCCCTAATGATGGTGTGAACTGAGGATGAACAGTCAAATTTAATTTTGCTTTATTTTGGCAGCCTACCTTTTATTTGCAACCTTGATAGACATTTGTATTTGGAGGTGCAAAATAAAAGACAAATTGTGTGATGTTATAAATAGGTAGCTTTCCTGAATGGTCACTGGAGGAATCACCAGAAGACTGTTGATGAAGTAGAGGTGAAGCCTTTCCTCACTAATTGTATTCAGCGTGTAATTTCTAAACTTCCCTCTGAATTTTGATTTTCAATTAACACTCCCCATTTGAAGATAATTTTCTATTTAATGTAATTGCAGGAAATAATTTATTGGCTGATTAAGACTGAGGGCCCAGCCTTCCTTAAGAAAACACTCTAACAAACCAGCCTTTAAACTCAACTCAGCTTTGGACAGATTTAGTCTATTTTTACAGCTGCACGGTTGTGTTTAATTAGGATTGTGCACTATTGTTCATTGGTGCAGTTTATACTTGAAATTATTCTTAAGAGACTTTTCATTTTGGGTTTTGTGTCATGATTAATTTATACTAAAGCAACAATCACAGATATTGCTATTGGAAGGAGCCAAGTCACTTTATAATAAGAGGATGTTTGTTGGGGAGCTAAAGTCACTCTGAGTTTTGCCTTATGACTTCCAATTGTATGTAACTGTTTTTAAAAGCAGCAGTAAATTCATTCTTTTGTTTTCCATGTGAATGATTACATTATTGGCACTATCATTATCTGGACTATGAAAACACTCTTGTTGTTCATGGTAAACTCTGGATAAACTTGCAGACCAGTTATAATTTGCCTGGTGTTACTGTAGAATTTTACAGTGATTCTTGTACAATAAGAAACATCCTTTGGTAACATTTTCTACACATGCATATACATTTTTCTATTTGTGAGTATTGATAGAAATAAGTCAAGAATATACTTATCTGATTCTTTGATATAGTACTCTTTAGGACATTTGATTTCTTTCCCCTCAAAGAGAATATAGACGTTCTTCTGCACTTCCTTTTCCCCATGTTATTTTCTAGTATCAAGTCTAATGGATGAAATTTTATTATTTGTAGAATGATTATTATAAGTAGGTATCAGCATTTTAATATGTTTCAAAGCACTTCAAAAGCCTGTAATACTTTTATTTAGAACTGTGCATAATTAGATTAGCTGATCTTATATTAATTTTTTTCACTGTAGGATACTAAATCTGAACCCCCTCATTAATTGTGAGAAATTTAGCATTAGCTGTTAAATCCTATGTGAAACATGGGCTGCTACATAAAAACTACTGTTTAAATTGGAATTAACTTAATTATTTTTCTTTGCACTTGATATTTCCTTCACTGCAATATTCATGAAAGCATGTGACAGATTTGTAAATTTAACTGTTAATCTCAGATTTCTAGACCCTTTAATCAGTATTTATTTGTCTGTAGAAACAGTACTAGCAAGTTAATGATTTGCTAATTTGAAAAATGCTCATGTGGTTTCCTATGTTAACTGATTTGTGCATTTTTTAAAAAATGGTATGAAATCAATTAATGTTAAAGAGCAATTAAGGTGGAGATTTTATTCTTTCGTTACACAGCAGTTTTAGAGCTAAAGATGCTATAAACCAAAAACAACATAAAGTTTTAGAAAAAATTCTCAATTATCTCTTAAGTTATAAACTTTTGATGGTTTTGTTTCTAAACATTTTGCTAAGAAAATCATGTTGATAAAACATAGAATGGAGACCTTGTGCAGAATGCAGTCAATGTTTACTTGTGGGTACATAGATGAATGTACAGTAATTGTTTTGCAGTTTTTTTAAGTTTATTTATTTATTTATTTATTTATTTATTTATTGAGAGAAACAGAGAGAGAGAGAGAGAGAGAGAAGCAAGCAGGAGAGGGGCAGAGAGAGAGGGAAAGAGAGAATCCCTAGCAGGCCAACATAGGGCTTGATCTCATGAACCTGAGATCATGACCTGAGCCAAAATCAAGAGTCAGATGCTTAACTGATTAAGCCACCCGGACACTCTTGTTTCTGCAGTTTAAAAAAAAATATGATGTATAGTAGGCATTTTACAATTTTCACAGTAAATGTTTTGAATTTTGTATGTACTTTCTAATATAAAATAGAGGCATAGGTATTTCATATACTCTATTCAAATGTTATAAAATTGTCCTAAGACTAATCTATCAGCCATTCAATCAATATGCCACTTAAAAGTTAAGTTAAAGTAGTTGACACATTTGGAAGATCTTTAGAAAAGGATCAGATTGACACTAAACAATGTTAGGACTAGCACTCATAGGTGTAGTTTACAAGGTATAAACTAAAGTCAGGACCAGATTTGCTTAGGACTTTCAACATGTATTGTGAATTCTCCTGATTATGTTTTCCCACATAGACTTCTTTTGTTCTTACATAAAGCATAAGAGAAATTTGGATATTTGTACTTTGAAATTATTCTTCAAACTGGCTTATTTGCCAGTTTATTCACTTATTTATCCACCCCCCCCCCCCCCCCGCATTGTTAGCCATCAACTGAATTACTCTTAAGAAGCTAATAATCTAGTTGGGAGAATTGGGAGGAAAAATATACATATGCATATACTATACATTATAAAAAACTATTCCATGGAAATTTCATTTGTGGATGGAGAAGGGAGAAGATGTGTAGCAATTACTAGGAAGAGGTTTGCTGGGTTAAAAGCAGAGAAGGAGAGTGGTACAGATGAGCTGAATTTTTATCAGTGGTTTAAAGTGGCTCATAAACAACTTGAAGTTAGAGACCCTACTTTTTTTCCTGAATTAGTCAAATGTAAGGGATGGTTTGTTCTTTTGTCATTGACAGACTTTTTGAACCCATGCTCTTTCTCTCTCTCCTGCAGAAGAATGTCTTCCAAGCAAGCCACCTCTCCATTTGCCTGTGCAGCTGATGGAGAGGAAGCCATGACCCAAGATTTGACCTCAAGGGAAAAGGAAGAGGGCGGTGATCAACATGTGGCCTCCCATCTGCCTCTGCACCCCATAATGCACAACAAACCTCACTCTGAGGAGCTACCAACACTTGTCAATACCATTCAACAAGATGCTGACTGGGACACTGTTCTGTCGTCTCAGCAAAGAATGGTGAGCTTTTAAAATCTGGCCACTGTCACTAAGCGTGTCCTTTAGTGTGGCCTCATCACAAATACATGTTTTAGAGAAAGCTCAAAATACATATCATAGAATTATTTGTGTTCAGATCATGAAACAAACACCATGTATATTATTAATATTACTAATATGCTAGTAACTGGGAAAAATTGGAAAATGGTTTCTGATTTAGTTTTTTATACATTCTTAGGTCAACTTGCCAAAAGATATTTAATTTAATTTGGGGGAGGTTTGGTTATCTTATTTTCTGAATCTCTCTTTTTTTTTTAAAGTTTATTTATTTATTTTGAGAGAGAGAGAAAGAGAGAGAGAGAGAGAGAGAGAGAGAAAGGGAGCAGGGGAGGGTGGGCAGAGAGAGAGGGGGAGAGAGAATCCCAAGCAGGCTCCGCACTGTCAGCGCAGAGCCAAATGTGGGGCTTGAACCCATGAACCCGTGAGATCATGACCCGAGCCAAAATCAGGAATCAGACGCTCAACTGACTGAGCCACCTAGGCGCCTCTCTGAATTTCTTAATAAGGTGGTAAACTTGATAATAACACAAAATAGGTACGATCAAATAAAGCGTGGCTGTGTATTAACATTGAAATATTGTATTAAGCAAACATGTCTATGTGAATGAGGTCATATGGTGAATACATCTTCAGTGGAGGAAATGCAGGTATTTATCATTTTTAATGGTCATTTTTGATTTATGATAAAGCTTTTCTCACTTTGTGCCTATACATTAATTTCAAAAGGACGTGCAAAGCTCCTGAGTATCATTCAATCAGACTTCAGGAGTTTGCTCTGAAGGTAGAAACATCAGATCCATGGAGTGTCTTAGCCAGCTTTCCCATGCTAAATTCTGTCTCTAGCCATCAAAACAGAGGCCACAGTAAGTGGCATTGTCTAGTTTAAAGCAAAAATGTCCAATTTTTTAGCATCTACAACTGACCAAAACCTTAACATATTTTATTAGAGTAGGAATTGAAAACCTGTTTTACATTTCTTAACTTTTGGTTAATGTTAATGAAAGATATCTTAAGTGGCCTGTCATGAAAAGTTTTATTCTTTAGTAAAAAAATAAGGTAATATTTAAAAACGCCTTTACAACTGATAACCTTATTTAAATTCTTGCTCTGTGCTTAATGCTTAATGTCGAAGACTTGATTCTATAAATTATGGAGGCAGACATTTTTCTTTCTCAGGTGATTTTGCAGGTACAACTAGTGCTCTGTAACAGTAGGTGAAAAGTAGGAGATTGGGAGAAAAATAAGACTTTTCTAGACTAACTTTTCTAGACTGTGAACTTAGGTTCACAGGGGATTATCATTACACAATTAATAGATACACTGGAAGATTTATTTTCCTTACATGGGGGAAAGAGAAAGTATAATAAGGCAAGACTAAAAGTTTTTCTGATTGAACTTAATCATTTTTGTACTTCCAAGATAACAAGGGTGAAATAGCTAGTCACTGCCACTGGCTTTTTGAGAAGATAGTAGGGCCATGTTTTATTTTTATGTCATCAAATATTTATGGAGCACCTTTTCTGGGTTCAGTATTCTACTCGGTGCTGGCTGTATTGTGGTGGAAAAAAACATGAATGATTATGCTTTCATGGAACTAATATCTAGGAGAGGGGACAGAAGTTAAATAAACACACATACATAAGTATATAATTAAAATTGTGACATGTGTTAGGAAGAAAAAGAGCAGAATGCTATGTGAGAACATAATGGGATAAACCTAATTTAGAATAGATGGATAGGGATGCCCTCTCTGACTTAAGGATGATAGGAATAGCCAGACAAAGTTTAGAAGAAAGAGTAAAAATAGCAGAGGGAACAGCATGGAGGAAATATTTGAGGGGAGAAAAATATAGCTGAGTATCAGGAAATGAAAGATAGTCTTAGTGGCTGGAGTGTAATGAATGAGGTTACAGGGTAGCATCAGATATGGTTGGAGAGACTGGTAGAGGCTATATCCAACAAGACCATATAGATTATGTGATGGAAATGAGGTTTGCATCTAAGTGCAATGGAGAATCATTGAAAGGTTTTAGAACATTGCAGATAGATCACTCTGTCTGTAGTATGAATGGATGGGAAGGAGAGAGAGTGAAAGGAGTAAGACCTGTTGGGAGCCTACTTAAGAAGTCCAGTTAAGAGATGGTAGTGGTTTGGGCAAATGGGATAGAGAGAAAGGATGGACTCAAGATCTATTTTATCACTTATGCCAAATATAATCATGGACAAGTAAAAGTAATGAAGCTGAAAAATATAGGTTGAGGCAGAAATAATACCCTTTAAATTTTACTTCTTTAGAGAACTGTAAAATTTTGTTTGTATCTTGGCAAGTGCCAAATTGCTTCAGTGAGTTATTTGCAAAGTTTTATGATCTAAACTTTTATCAGAAAATAGATATTAATAATTTACTTACCAAATTTATATTAAGAGGGATTTATGGTCGTATAAAATAGTTTAAATTCACAAATATGTTATATATTAGTATAAAAGAAATCATATTTGCTGGAAATGTTTTCAAACTTTCACTCTCTTTTGATATCAAGCACTGCTTTCCACTGGAGCCTTTGTGTATTCTGAATGTCTGGAAGCCAAAATATTTTGTTTTAACTCCCACTCTATAGTATTTCCCAGCTGTGTACTTATATGGTATAATAAAAGGATTTAACAAATGGGAAATAGCAGCTGCATTTGGAAATTCCCTTTGTGCTCCCTTTTCATTCGATAGATTCAATAATGTGTAACAACTGTAGCATCAGACCTGTAATGACTTACACTGCAAGTATCATATCACCAACCAGTTTTTCTTTATGGAGAAGAAAAACAATAGAAAGGATTTTAGGTTTCTGGGCAGTCCTGAAAACCTACATATAGAGTGTGTGTATATGTGTGTGTGTGTGTGTGTGTGTGTGTGTGTGTGTGTGTGTGCGCGCGCACATGCATACATGTATATGTGCACGCATGCATGAGTGTGTATGTGTTGGGGTGGGGAGACGACTAAAGTAAAATTTAATAAACATTTTACCTCATTCCACTTTCAAATAATTAGGAATCCAAAAGTATTGTCATGATGTTAAGTGAAACTTGGTTGTTCTCTTATACTTGTTACCCACTGTAATTGAACCCCATAAAATAGGTGTGGAGAAATAAAATTTTAAAGTAAAAAACAGTAACACAAATTCTATTAGCACCTATTCAGTTTCCAGTTATTAATTTTTTTGATGGCCTTCACTCATGAACAGTTAGAAACAGTCACTAAAAATTTCTTATCTCCTGGGTTCAGGAAGGGTTTAACTTTGAAATATTAAGACCACAGAAGAGCTTTACTGTAAAGAGGGGGTAAAGACAAAGCAGAGAAGTTCTGCTAATCCCCACTTCCTGATTAGAAAAAAAAATCTTGAAATGTTGAAATTCTGATTATTCTGATGTGGCGTTCCAACAAAATATGAGACCCCACAGTTTCAAACAAGGAAGATAATTCATTGTGGCATAAGCAAAGGAGAATAGAAATTTTAGAGTTTGACATTCAAAGACCAATTTGAGATTAAAAAGTTTTAGGCTCTGATTTTAATTATAATAGCTTATGCTATAGACACCAAAATTCTTGATTTTAAGTTTCGTGTAAATTGATAAATTCCATTTGAAGGCTGAAAAGCTAGTGTAAATAAAAATTTACTGTCCTTTTTCATTATATACAGCCACTACTATTTTCATTATGGTATGGGTGTGCCAGTACTTTTTTTCCCCAGAGGAATATTGACACTGTCTCCTGATAGGTGTTTTTGTTCCCATAAGGACTGATTCATTAGACAGTAATAAATTCATATCATTTTTTCTTGGAAAAAATGTGTAGTGTATTGTTCTATTCAATGTTAACAAGGATGAAGGAACATTTTATGGTTATATTTAGTGACTGGAAGTATGATACTGTGTGTAACTATTGTCTCCTAAAGATTACTTGAATATATAGCACCTACTAAGTTCCAGGCACAGGGACTTTCTTATGAATAAATCAGGAAAGAGCCCTGCTATCCTGGAACTTCTAGTAGTATTACAGACAATAAAGAAGTTTCACAGAGTGAGCCAATGTCAGACAATGATAAGTGGAATAAAGAAAATTAAATAAGAAAATGTGATCAAGAATGACTAAACAGTCCAGAAGGTCTTTTTGAAGGTGTGACTTTTGAGTTGAGATTTGAATGAGAAGGAACAAACTATGCAGCAATTTGGGGGAAGACACCCAGCTAGAATATACAGAAAGTGCAGCAGCCTTTTTCATTGGTGTGTTTGAACAACAGAAAACAATAGAGTGACTGGAATGGAGTGGGTGTGAGAGAGAATGGTATGAGATGAAATCAAAGAGGAAGTCAGATGCTACAGACTTTGGGGGTATCACAGGCTACAGTGAGGTGTTTGGGCTTTACTTCAAGTGCAACAGGAAGCCATTGGAAGATTTTAAGCAAGTGTCTAACATGATTTGATTTATGTTTTAAAAATCATATTGGCTGCTGTGCAGCATACAGATTGTAGGAGATAATACCAGAAACAAGGACACCTAGTAGGAAAATTATGGCAATAGTGCCCATGAGAATTTGAGGGTAAATGGAAGAGTGAACAATTAGAGAGGTTATTCTTCAAGTTCCCCTAGATTCTGAAGAGGACAGGATTCACACAGAAGTTGAGGAGAGTATTTTAAGCCTTGTGGCCATGACGTTAGTCAAGCGAGCAGAAATTTAGTTAAGAATGAACAGGAAATGAAATTGTGAAGATCAAGGAAGAGGGTCAAGGGTAGGCTTGTTCCTGGACAGAAAATGGTCCCATGTGAGGACAGAAGCTTTTTACTTAAGAGGGAATTGGTTGCAGGTGACTTCTGGGGCAGGCCATGAGGATGTGGGCAGAGTACCAACAGTATCTCTTACAAGATCCAAAAAGTGACAACAAGATTGTTGTGCTCTTGCTTGCATGCT